TGTCCAGATAGTATAACAACGGTAACAATGTGGTGTGCTACTTATATTGACATAAGTAGTCTATGAAGTTAGTCGTGAACAGAAGATGTTGCAGCAGAGCGACAAGAGGATCGAACCGTAAAGAATGGAGACAGGATGCATTTTGCAAGAAAATGCAAGAACAATGAAGTCTGAGTCATTTTGAGACAATTGGTGGACATTTTGCAAATTAAGCATTTACATTATGATTGTTAGATTTTATTAACAAGTCCTGTAATTTTGTCTCCACTGGTGTTCTTGTTCAGTACATCAGATCTATACACATTTGCACGTAACACCTATTTTCAAAGTTAGTTACTACAATAGTGTAGTTTCAGAGTGATGAAGTACTAAATTTACCAAGATATTTACAATGAACTGTGTCACTACATTTCGTCAGTGTATGACAGGTTTGTTAACTTGGGTGTTTTCTGAAATTTAGTACTTGAATTTACTTTTAAATCACTAAATCGTTAGTATTGACAAGTTGTGCCAAAGCGGAAATTAAAGCCGATGTTACTGATAAGACAAGTCACTAGATTTGTTATTTTAAGTATTCTTTTCAGCGTTCTAGATAAATGCGGAAATTATTGATCGAAATGTACATATTATTCGGTTATTATTGAAATTAGGCTTGTTTATTGCAATGGAAGGAGTAGTTTCCGCCAATTCTGTGGTTGATATTGCATTACATAATGATAATACATCACGATACTCAATGAAAGAGTTGGAGTGTGGCTTTAACATTAAATTACATGTAAAATAAGTCTAGCAAGCTTTGTGATTCTACTTGTGAGCCAATACTTTCATTTAGATTCTGAGTGGTTATTTCACGAGTTTAAGTTGCAGTAGCCTAGTTGTATTTTACTGAACTTTAAGATGCTAGCAATTGTACATTATCAGTTCGATTATGTTCACCAGGGTTGTTTATGAAGATTTCGCACTCCTTTCAATTGTTAGTTCTCTATATGGGTCTTTTGGATTTGGTTTACTATCCTTTTAAACTTTGTGCTTCATATTTGTAGCCATTTGTAATCGTATAACCAAAGTGTTATTCGTAAACAAGAAGTTTGTACATCACTATCAGTTAAGCCAGAAATCATAGGATCCATTTCATTAGTAACTGTGGCAACACAGTTTGTAATACCAACGCCTAATGAGACGAGGATACTTATGAAAAAATCTCTACATGATTGGATTATATGGTTTCAGTTTGAAAATATAGTAAATATAGAATGCCTAATATACTCTGAAGAAACAGCTTACATTAAGTTGATAAGCGTCGGAGATTTAAATTTCCTACACGTTGGAATTCTACAAATATATAATTAAATTTGTGTTTGTGTCAAATTCGTTTTTTGTAGTAAATAAATTCCAAACATCCAATATTGTTCAGTGATTAAAAGTTATTAGCAAAAATCTAATTCACCTCACTTATTATTTCACAGAATTAAATCTGTATGGTAATTTGTTCACCTTTCGAGATTCAAGTTTACCTAGGTTTTTATATTGTGTCGAAGAGTATGTTTTCGAAGCTAGTTGAGAGAGTATAACCGATCAAGTGGACTAGCGATCAACGAAATCACTAAAAATGTACCTGACCAATTTACGACATCAGAATATCATATCACAATCGTATAATTGATAGTAGAAATTCCCGGAGCTGACTGTAAGTTGGTTCCAATTTATTCTCGTTAATATTCTTTCACATTTAGAATCTCTGTGAACAAGATTATTGCGCATATTTAAATCGTATAATACGGCTAATTATGATGTAGCACTGTCCATGAACACAACGCTGGGAATGTTTGGGTAGATGAATTTGTTACTATCTCAACTTTGATGTATTTGTGTTGAAGCATAGACTTATTAATTGTAATATTAATCGTAATCCCAACGTTAGAATCCACACCCTATTGATTGTGCATAATCAAATCAAATATTGGTATCTTATTGGAGCTTCGGTAGACGTCGACATTATTTTATTTTCAAAAGAGAAGTGAGGGGTTATTCTTCACTCAAAAGGTATGAGAGATGTTCATTGTTTTGTTAACTAGATAAGAATTTGTTGGATTAATATAGCCACTTGCTTGGGAAGTGTAACTAAAGAAGTCTTACGTCACGTGTTGCAGACATTTCGCAAATTTATCCGCTTATCAAACAGACCAAACTAGTTACCAGTTTGGAAGCTGGTGCTCTGTAGGGAGTAAGTCTGTAGTGGCTGGTACTAAGGTTATTCTAGCTAATGACCAATTTATTTGAAATCATCAAGTCGAACCTTGGTAACGCATACTTGTAGATTCTAACATTATATTTTGAGTAAGCTATAAGACATTGGATTAATGCAGCCACAATAAGAAACCAGACAATCACCAATCAGGTTACAATACGAAATAGACCGGTTTTCAATAAACAAAAATTAATGTATATAGTACGGTTTATTGAAGAAATTACTTGTCAGATCTCTAAAATATTGTAGGGTCTCCTCAGTGTGCCTACGTACATTCTACACATGATTTATAATGTCTGCTAATTGAACGCTCGATCTGATTCCAAAACTGCTTCAAATACCCCAGCGTAATCTATACGGCGACTTGGACACAAAAGAAAATGTGAGAAGTTCGAAACCTAAAAATCAGTGATGAGAATTTATCAAACTCCCAAAGTAAATAAAAAAGACTTATGAATGCACCACTTTTTAATGATTAATTTACAGTCAAGTCGGATTAATTAAGTGAATTAGATTGTATTTAACAATATTAATTCAATGACTTACTATGTGAGCGCATACTTACAATTAAGTATCTTAATACGTCACAAGACTGGACAAAAAATGAATTTATTATGTTATTCTCACTTCAATTGATTAAACTACCACTTGTTACATCAATTTAAAAAGAGAATCAATCAAAAGGCAACGCAAACGTCAGTGAAACTTTCATTTACATAGTGGTCTCCTTGAATATTGGAGTGAAGATATTGCCTAGAAGGCACTGATTTCGGTGGTGCTGCGTTAGTACCATTATTGATGTTTTATATGAATCTTCATTTTAAAAGAACTTTTGACATAAATTTCGACCTTATTTGTGCTTATAAGAAATAGTGTGTTCGTTTACGTAAAAAAACTCCTGTACATCCTACAGAGGAGCTGTATCAGACATGAATTATCTAGTGAGTAAATAAATAAATGACAGTATATCTTATCTAATTCATTTCTGCAGAAAAATGTATCTATAGTTACAGTGTCAGTATTTAAACTTCGATTAAACTACCTGTAAACCAACGTGAAATGTAAGTAAATTTACAGTAACAGAAAAACTTAATTTTCTTTACTGTCTTTGTATACACATTACAGCTTCATTATTCAAATAACCGTACCTACCTGGTAGATTTCATTTAACCTGTCTTGTTCACTCAATAGTTCTACCAAATGTTTAACCCGCTTACATTATGACAAATTGAACTGCTGCATAATATACGAGGTCTTTGATAAGCAGATTAAAATTCTGTACGCATCAATAGGTGATATGCTCAAAGCCTACTATATAGTGACATTCATAATCTCTTAAAACTACAAAAGCGAAGCAACCAAGAAGCTGGTTCCAAACCCTCACTACGTATTGGAAAATTTTTCTCGAGGAATTAAAAGGATATCAAATGGGATTTTCTTTGTACATTGGCTAGATAATACTCTTGAAAACGAATCATATTGTAATGAGAAAAAACGATGCTAAAACTTATTCCTCTACATTGTTTGTTTCGCGATTGATTAAGAAACAGAAGTTTTGACACCCAAGAGATAGAAGTTTCGAACAGTGTCTATCGTGAAACAAATAAGGTTTTGTAACTCTAAAAGTTGTTGGTGATTGAATGTGACAGGGATGACCGAGTTTTGAAGAACCGCTAATCTAAGCACAATAATATAAACTTTAGACTTGAGAATCATAGTAGAGGATATCTTCAAGTTAATTTATATTTGCAGATCACAGTGAAACATAAATGTTTCATATTTTTTGTGAATCCCCTTAGGCAAGTTATCATCCAATAGGCTTTATTAATGAATTAAAATTATCATAATCTATTATGTTGTACTACGTTTATTAATTGCCATTAAGCGAACACAAATCATCAAAAATTCTAAGTTTGTATCAAATCTTCTGAAATGCGTATTATTTACTGAAGATCTACTTAGTGACAATCGACATACCAATATGTCAAATGGAAAGAAATTGAGTACGGATTTTGGTCAGCAACAGTTGTCAAAACTATAATAACGGTAGGTATATGATGCGTAGAGAGTTGCGTTCTCGTAATGAAATTAAACAATGAATAAAAAAGGTGATCAGGAAAGTTAAGTATCATGGTTAACAGATTGTCACAATGGTAAAAATGATTTATTGATAGCAATACTTTATTACTACGTCATTCTTTATAATTCCTTACTGCATTTTTGATTCTTGAGCAGTACCCAACTCTGTAGTGTAACATCTTCAACTAATACAATACAATACTATCTTGATTCCCACATTTTCTGATTGACGCTTGCTGCACAGTAGGAAGAGTCTGGTTATATGTTTGAATATTGCTTCCAACATATACATTTTCCCATTTCGATGATTGTCAACAAGATAGCAGAGGATAACAAGTTGGTTCATAAAATAAAATAGTAAAAACCTCAATGTTAGGGATTTTCGCAGCTTTCCAGTAAATTTAGAAAATTGCATCTCTACTCAAACAAAAACTCAAGGTAAAAGTTTTAGAAAATTACAAACTTTATATATTTGTACAGAAAATATTTTGTCGATTTCTTTATTTAAAAAACCCCTATCCTTAAACATATAAAAAAAAAATCCAACATATACTGGGTTTTGCCAGGATGCAATCAGATGAACAAGATATACAGACCATCAAGGATAAGTAAACATTATTATACACATCAAGTCTCTGTACATTTGGATGTTACTTATGAAAATCAAAACTGATCAAGAAGTTTTGGCTAATTTCTCAGAAAAGTCTTCTAAAATTCCGTTCACATGTTCATTGTCTTTAATATGAACTGGACGATTCATGGTACGTTTTTGTCCTGGTTTCTTTCTTTGTACAGGTAACTTTAAAATACACAACAAAAGCAGATTCTGTTCAAACATCAATATTGTGGAAATTAAAATAAGGAAATTAGAATTACACGTATATTGAAACTGGTTACTGTTATCTCAGATGATTTACTATAATTAATTATTAATATGTAGCAAATACCAATGACAACCGTTTAAACCTAGGAATTTGTATATCATTATGACCAATCGACCGAAATTTTATTCATCAAAATACAGAAGGTTAGAAAGAAACTTCTATATAGATTATTTCTCATGAACTAGGCCAGTAATAAAGAAAATATAATCAAATATATGGTTAATTAGATTCATATAATAGTTCTAGTTTATTTTTCTGAGGTATTCAAATTTTTCATCGACATATAAAGATCAAAGTCTTACATACAAGAAAGTGGGAGAAGGATACAGAAATACGATCGCATTAGTAACAGTTACCCACCCCAAACATCAATTAAAAATAGTAAACTCACAAGATTGAATTATAAGTATAATAATGAATGGTCGTCTATTACGAACAATCATTCCACCGAAAAGTGTAGATAAGCTTTCGTTGCAATTACATGTCGCCATCAAAATGGCGAGTAAACCCGCGTGAGGCTTCGCGAAACGTCCTGCTTATAAGCACTGGGTTTCTTCAAGCTCCTTACAACTCATCGAAGCCCGTCGGTCTACTCCGAGTGACCGTGAGTTTGACCACAAACGAAGGCTGATAGTAATGAAATCGGGCAAAGCTTGCGTAAGGACCGAAAAGCCTGGCGCTTGGAAACTTCCAACAAGTTGGAAGCAACAGCTGCATAAATTGACTATCGAAAAGTATTTCAACTCGTTCGAGTCACTCGAAGCAAGAAGTCTGGTATGAGCGAAACAAAACGTGAGGATGACGGGATGCCAATCACTAACATCCATTGACGTCTTGGACGATGGGCAGAGTCCTTCGAAGGGCAGTTCAACTGGCCTGCTGCTCCGGCAACATCGATCAGACTATCCTGCCCTCCATGGTCGGTGACGACTGATCCACCAAATGAGGGGGAAGTCCGCGAGACACTCCAAGTATTGAAGCGCTACAAATCACCCCACCCAGATGACTTACCTCCGGCAATTTTTAAAGACGGTGGTGAATTTCTGGTTAAGGAACTGACTACGTTGTTTACAAGTTCTAGTAATTACAGTGTGTTCCAACATCGTGGAATGCCTGGAGAAAGACTTCGACCTTGAGTATACGGATGATATTGTCTTACTGTGTGATGATGCCCAAACCATACAATCCGCACTTAATTGGTTGGCAATCAGTGTCCGTAAGTATCGTATGTGATTTTCACTTTCGAAGTGCAAAATAATTCTACAAGACTGGCAGGATTCTAATCCTGTAGCTGCATAAGTGCTGGTGGTGGCGTGAGTGATGAGACCAATGCAGTTCTGCTCTATGCTTGTGAAACCTGGCCTCTCCGAGTTGAGGATGTTAGACGACTCCGTGTTTGGTCTTCGTTGTCTCCGAAGGGATGCTGACATCCAGTGGCAACAACATGTTAGTAATGCAGAGTTTCGGCATCGTGTATTCAGATGGAGAGACGATAATCAAATTGGTGTCACCATCTTGAAACATCGACTTCGGTGGCTTGGACATGTTCTACGAATGTCGTCCCGGAGAATTCCACGTCGTGCATTATTTGCTGACGCTGGGACTGGTTGGAAAAAGCGGAGAGGTGGTCAGTGGATGACATGGTGTCGTGGTACGAAAGAAAGCTGCAAAGAGATGACTCCTGTTGGTGTTTCACGACTCCCTGGCTGGGGTCTGAGAGATGGTGCGACACAGTGGCTAGAGACGTTATCAGATATGGCTCACAATAGAAGTCAGTGGCTATCCTGCTGTGACCTTCTTTTACTTTCTTCATAAAAAGTGGTTGTGTCTTTCTTATCTGAAAGAATTCTTCTGGTTGTAACTTTACGTTTCCCCATTATTATTCATCTTATTATTAAACTACAACACACTAATCTGTGGTCGTTATTGTTTTTTTCTTATATGCACCTTACCTTCTTTTTCTCTTCCCATTCTCATTGTTTTGTGTGACGCATATATATCTGGTGCCCCTCTTGAACCAATATGTATGTGTTCAGATGAATAAATAAACACATAAATAAATAATAACGATGCAGTATCAAAACCTGATCATTTTCGTGTTTTGATGTAGTGAGATGACAGATTATATTGTTTCCCTTGTAGCTAACTGTTGTGAATATAGAAGGGAGACAAAGTCTAAAAACAAAATTATCCTACGCGAATAAATCACCCAGGGTAGTTTTGATGGGTGCACTACAGTATAACAACAAGAATGATGCAAGGTAAAAATCTGTATTGCTCTTGGATATGAATTAATCAATATGGTATAGGAGGAACTTCAACAGCAAAGTACTTACTAAGATTAGTTATAAGAATCATAGTCGGCATAACAGTGTGGTATTATGAAAAGCAATTAACAGTGTATTAATGATCCATAGTAATATATGAATTGGGAAATTACTTTGTTTCCAGTATATACGTATAGGTAGAATAGTGAAAAAAACGAAATAGTCTTACGAAATTTTTACGATCACCAGACATTGAGGAGATTCCATTACGCTTTAAATACTCCTCAATTTTTGTTTCATGAACACCCTCCACACTCACCGATCGCCATTGTTGCTTAAATTCTACAGATATACAAAAGAAATCGTAATAATATTGATAATCAATAATTTACAGAAATTAATTATAAAGTATACGAAACAAAAGTGTATTTTAAAATCCCAACTTAATCAGTAATGCGCATGTATGACCTGAAACACAATTTTCAAACATCTACTTATTGTAATTTGAATTAATTTCTAAAACTAAGTACAAGTTACAAACTAGATTTTTGACAGAAAAGAATCATAGTTTTTATTTCTTTTTTGCAAACATCAACTATGCGCATGTATGACCTGAAACACAATTTTCAAACATCTACTTATTGTAATTTGAATTAATTTCTAAAACTAAGTACAAGTTAGAAACTAGATTTTTGACAGAAAAGAATCATAGTTTTTATTTCTTTTTTGCAAACATTAACTATGCTTATCAATAACTTTGAAATCTATCCAGAAATTGGACTGATATTACTTGTTGATGCAAAAAGAAGTATGAAATATTAAAAATCTACTCGAAAAAAAAAAGAAAACGATATGGAAAATTGATGCGAACTAAACGTTAGCAAACAATTAGAAAAGGATTAGTTTAATACGGCACCAGTAGTCATGAGAAAATGATGAGTTTAAAAGTTGATGATGAAATATTTGAAGAAGTGAGAAAGAATTTGCAAGTTATATAGTAAATGATGGCTAATTTATTTTTTCCTACTATCATATATTTCGGAATTCAGAATCACAAGAACTGATATTTGTAAGTGACACGAAATCCACAAGAAACTGATAGTCTGTTTGAGATATTTGAGATGACAGTCAATCAATAGCAGCGTAGAACCTGGTATGTATATACATCGGTTCGAGTTTTCATACCCCATTAGCACAGAGACGAAGTTGTCAGGTCAAATTCCAGAAAGGTAGAGGTAGTAACAGTATCAGTGGTAATAGAAAACATTGGGTATCTGTTAGGTTCGTTAACCTTGAGGATACTACTGATTCGACTTATTCGGAACGGAACGAACGCTCAGGATTCAGAGACTCAATAGACTATTCTGGTCCGTTGTCTTCGACTCAGCTAACTCGATCAAGAAGTCTTGGTAAGGCGTAGAAGTGTATTCTACAAGCAACAGCAGATACCAAGTCAGGTAGGCAGATCAGATCAAGCATACAAGTCAAGCGTATTTATACAATTATTTACAATCGATATTGTCATAGAAAATTTTTTAACATTAAATCAATGAGTTCATTAATTGACCTATTTGCGCATTTAATCGATAGTTCATCAATTGACTGCTACTCAACATTTAATCGATCAGTTTATCAATTGACCCCAATACAAATATTTAAACATTTAATCAATAAGTTGATCGATGCGATAAAATTTAAAATATGAGTTTGGGGATCTATCGTCCCCAACACTCCTCCCCTTTTTAATAGCGGGCTTTCCTGGGGTCAACCTGCATCTTGACTGTAGCTCGCCGTTCTCTTATAGGCCATCGTCTGGGACGTGTTTCAGATTGTTGTTGGGGTTTTTCTTGTGGTAGGGTTGCCGGTAAGTTGAAAGTAACAAGCAAGATGTCGAGAGGAAGATTTAGTCCTGTTGATGGGTGGTCTGGGGCTATCCGCTTACGTAATTGATTTCGGTGTCTAGTCCATGTGTCTCTTCCCACCTTTACATTGTACATAACTTGGCCTAGTCTTCCAACCACACGTTCTTCGATCCAAGGACCATGATTTGCTCTGTAGTCTCGAGCGAACACAGGGCATCCAACCTCGTACTCTGGAAGCTTCTGAGATTTGGTCTGAGATGGTGGTGGTGTGGTTCTTGGGCACATGAGACTGTGGATCGTCCTCAATTTCCTTCCCATCAGGATCTCTGCCGGGGACTTCTGCTGTGGTAGCATATCACTAGGTGTTGTTCGGTAAACAAACAAGAAATTCTGCAGTGTTTCTACTGGCGTCCCCTCCCCTTTCGACTTCATTAGAGCTCTCTTGAATGTATCCACAAATCTTTCTGCTTGTCCATTTGACTGTTGGTGGTAAGGTGGAGAGCGGAAATGCTTGATCGATAGGCGTTTGCAAAATTCTTGAAATTGGCTTGAGGTGAATTGCGAACCGTTGTCGGAAACGATTATATCCGGTAACCCATTGCGAGAGAACATCTCTGTCAACAGTTGCATCGTTTGGGTTGTCGTTGGTGGCATGACGGGAACGATTTCTGGCCATTTCGAAAAGGCGTCAACAACGACTAGATAGGTGATTCCATTAATTGGGCCTGCGAAATCGACATGTATCCTGGACCAGGGATACTCAGGCTGTGGCCATGGGACTGGTAGTATTTTCGCGTTACACTTAGCTGCTTGCTGACATTGTGTGCACTTGCTTACTAAATCCACGATATGTTGGTCCATGAGGGGCCAATAAGCATAGCTTCTGGCGATGGATTTCATTCGTTTTAGGATGACCAGTGTGGAATTGCTTTAGCACCTTTGATCTTAGGGATTCTGGTACCACTACTCTATCTCCAAACATCAAGCATTCGTTTACGACGCATAATGAGTACCGACGGTGGTAAAGCTGTTTCAAGTCACCATCGAGTCCAGTCGGCGGCCAGCCATTTGTGACGTATTTCATCGCTCTCTTTATGATGGAGTCGTTCTTGGATGCAGATTTTATTTCAGCTGCTGAGACTGGCAAAGCACGAATAACAGTTGTCAGGTAGCACTGCGCGTAGTCCTCTGTCATCAGAGAGGCAATAACTGTATCTTCGCCGGCCGTATGGTGCTGATAAGTCGTGACAAGGCGTCAGCCTGACCAAACTGTTGAGTGCGCCGATACTGAATGTCAAAATCACAACCCAGAAGTATCAAAGCCCATCGTTGGAGACGGTTTGCAGAATGGGCTGGAACACCAGATTTCGAACCGAAAATTGTGAGAAGAGGCTTGTGATCAGTGAGAAGAGTAAATCTTTGACCGTACAAGTATTTGTGGAAACGGCGTACTGCAAACACAAAAGCCAGAGCCTCTTTTTCTATTTGACTGTACTTTCTTTCTGCTGAAGTTAATGTGCGAGATGCGTGCATAATAGCTTTCTCTGTTGCGTCCGGGAACTGATTTGAAATGACAGCACCGAGTCCAAAAGCTGAAGCGTCTGCAGCGACAATAATAGGCATGGACGGATCGTAGTGCGTCAATAATAGTTCAGAGCTAATGCTGGTTTTCAGCTTGCAAAATGCAGCTTCACATTCTTTTGTCCAATTCCAGCTGGTATTCTTATTCAGAAGATGATTTAGCGGGGCGCGTATGTCATGCATCGACGGAACAAAAGCTGAATAGTAGCTAATTAGTCCCAGGAATGATCGTAGCTCAGAGATATTAGTGGGAGTTGGCATCTGTTTTATAGCTCGGATGTTTTCCGGATCTGGTCTGCGACCTGCGGCATCAAAGATGAATCCCAAATATTTAACTGACTTCAAGAAAAACTGGCATTTTTCTGGGCGTAATCGGAATCCGTTATCGCTGATGCGTTGTAGTACAGCTTTCGTGCGTTCCCTAAGCTGTTCTAACGATGTGGCAACAATTAAGATATCATCGAGATAAGTTGCGACCCCCGGGGTACCCGATAGAATGGTATCCATTAGTTGCTGAAAAATAGATGGAGCTGTTTTAACACCAAATGGTAGGCGATTGTACTGAAACAAGCCACGATGAGTATTTATGGTAAGTAACTCTTTCGAATCTTCAGCCACTTCCACTTGTAGAAAAGCATCAGCGAGATCCAGCTTTGCAAAGAACTTCCCACCATTTAACATCGTGAACAAATCTGCAAGGACTGACAGTGGGTAGTGATGCTGTTCGAGAGCTGCGTTAAGACCTGTGGAAAAATCTGCGCATATTCGGATTGTGCCATTAGCCTTCTTAATAACCACAATGGGTGCTGCCCAGGCAGAATAAGAAACAGGTGTAATAACTCCCTGTAGTTGAAGGCGGTTAAGTTCTTCGTCAACTTTCGATAATGCTGCGTACGGCACTGGTCTTTTTGGACGAAAGACAGGTTTAGCTCCAGGTTTCAACCGAAGTGTTGCTTTCATAGCAGTGCACTGACCCAATACAGATTGGAAAATGGTTGAAAACTCCGTCATTAGTTCTTTCGAATATGCTTCAGGTTCATGAGGTTGTTTCACCAGATGGCATACGGTGCTTAAAGAAACGTCAGCTAAATGTAGCCGGTCAAACCAGTCTAACCCAAGTAGATTAAGATCAGCTGGTGTGATGTAACATACACCGGTAAACGTCGAATCGTGAAAAGACACTTTACAATCTAGTTGTCCCAACAAACGTAGGTAATTACCGCATGCAGTTCGAGGTTTTTGTGTTGTTGGAACCATGCGTGGTCTTCCCATTCTGATCCAATATTTTCGTGAGAGAATTGTTACATCAGATGCAGTGTCTATTTGCAATCTTAAATGGGTGCCCATTAATATTAAGGGTAATAAATTTCCTCTCAACTGGGCATGAGTTCTCACAGCTTGCTATTAGACTCAACGAATTCGTGTTGGATCTAGGCGTAGGCTTCCTGGTACCTTTGGAGTTGCTTGGCTTCTTTTTTCGACAAAAACCATCTTTATGACCCACCGTGTTACATTTCCTGCACCGATGTTGCTTATATGGACAGTATCGAACAAAATGCCATGCACCGCAGTGCCAGCATGGGGCAGGAGGATTTGTTTTTGTCTTTTGACTTGAACTCGATGTCGCTGAGGCAGATTTATGCGAGTTGCGTGGTTGTTGGACTACATGAACTTCGGTACGATCTGAACCACCACGCTGGACCATCGTAGTGTCACGCTGTAGATTGATTAGGCGTTGATATTCGTTTGCAATATCATTAAGGGTTAGTTTTGGATCTTGGTCCAATCGACTTAGCAAACGTGTTCTAATGTCACTGAACTTCTGCGATTGAAGGCTGCAGATGAGAATGAGTGCTTTAAATTGGTCTTCAGAAAGCGACTTCAACCGGAAGCGTTAAGATTCTCGGTTAACGATACCCACATGTGTGAGAAAATCAGCGTCTTCGTTCATAGTGAGCTTCAAACATCGATAACGCGCATTAAATAGTGAGGAGTTGTCTCCGAATTGTTGGCTCAATGACTGGACAGTGTCCGAGAATGAGCGATCGCGTGGGTTTAGAGGCAGAATTAGGTTGCAATACCTGTCTAGTTCATTAGGACCCAACTTTCGAAGCAGCAAGCGGATCTTCCAAGCATCATCCTGATTAGCAAAGTCGAACTTGAATAAGTCTTCGTAACGTCGAAACCACATATCAAACGTGACATTGGATTCTGGATCGTAATGAAACTCGGAGATACTGTTAGCGATACCATCAACTGATGGTGCAGTAGTAGTAGGATTAGAACTGCTTGGTTGAGTATTAGACGTAAGCTTTGCATCCGCTAACATCTGAATAAGTTTCATTTGCTGCTCGAGTAATAATTCAAGTTTAGAAGGATCCATGTTTCCAAAACCACCGTCGCCAAATTGTTAGGTTCGTTAACCTTGAGGATACTACTGATTCGACTTATTCGGAACGGAACGAACGCTCAGGATTCAGAGACTCAATAGACTATTCTGGTCCGTTGTCTTCGACTCAGCTAACTCGATCAAGAAGTCTTGGTAAGGCGTAGAAGTGTATTCTACAAGCAACAGCAGATACCAAGTCAGGTAGGCAGATCAGATCAAGCATACAAGTCAAGCGTATTTATACAATTATTTACAATCGATATTGTCATAGAAAATTTTTTAACATTAAATCAATGAGTTCATTAATTGACCTATTTGCGCATTTAATCGATAGTTCATCAATTGACTGCTACTCAACATTTAATCGATCAGTTTATCAATTGACCCCAATACAAATATTTAAACATTTAATCAATAAGTTGATCGATGCGATAAAATTTAAAATATGAGTTTGGGGATCTATCGTCCCCAACAGTATCAAAGATACAACTCGAGAAAATATAAATTAGTGAAATAAAAAAAGGTTATTAGGAACTTAGAATCGCAGAATTTGAGGGCAGACAAAGAATGGATTCGCCTGTGCCATTGCAAACGATTTTGAGCCATTTCATTCTGTATCTCTAACCATTAGCTACGGTAATTACACGGACCGCGGTCAGGTAGTCTACACATATTAAAATGGATAAATGCAACTGTTAGTGAACTGATACCATGTTTCCGTCTGGCCGCCCCTCGTTTTCTTTCGGCCTACTCCTAAACTACAAAACATTGCGCGTTTAGGTAAGGAGTGGTTGGTCATACGTAACACATTTTCCAACCACCTCAGTTGATGAAGGTTTACTACTTCATTAATCGATTCGCCATCCGTACATATTACCATATTCCTAGCCCTACATAAAACATAAGACGAACTTCTAGTTAGTTATTGTGACTTGTGATCCTGTGCCCTTATCAACGTATGATGTAATGATGCCACCAATTGGAGAACAGTGAATTATCGACTGGACCAATGACGCATAAAACCCGTACGAGCAGTCTAGAGTCTTTACCGGTCCTTCTTCGTTCCTAGCCCTGCCTGTTAAGTCCAGAACACCAATCTCAGCCTCCATGATATGAATCATGTATTTCAAACATACTGGGTTTTTATCCAAACCAAAGAGACTACATCGCATCACAAAAAAGAAAACATCTTACAATATTAGCCAAAAGTGGCTGTGAATGTGGAATACTGTAATTAATAGACTGGGCATAACTCAAAAGCGGTAAATCATATAATAATAGTCTATGGGTCAAAATAAAGCTTTGATTAAGAGGAACATGAATATGCTTACTTTAGCTACTTTATAATTATACAACAAAAATATATGTATCGTACTGGTCCACAAATAGTCCTCAAAATTTACCATTCATAATTCTCGTCAGGATATAACACTAGTAAAGTAGCTTAATTAGTCGTCATTTTGCAGAGTTTCTAATACATTTGTGTTATTTATTTACCTTTCAGAGGAAAAAAATAAACCTACTGCTTTTTTGAACACTTCGTTAACAACTAATTTTGTGTTAAATTTTGGACGTTTAAACATGTCTATCAAAGAACCCTAATTAATGAGTCAACCATCTTTGGAACGTTTAAAAACATTGGGCATTTTTAGGAAATTTCAATTAATTGAACTCAGTAGAATAATCAGACACATTTACTGTAACCGATACACTACGATTTACCAATGAACCTAACTAACCGCATATTAAAATGCAGAAGTCACTTTGTCTACCCTTTCAGTGCTATGTATCATAATCAATTTATGCTTGAATTAAATGAACCGTCGGTTTTCTGTGGAACAACACAAACTGCTGATCATTCTCACTTTGGGCGCATTAATAACTAAAGGTGATAAATATTAGCACTATAATAAACAGACTGAATAATACAGGTTTTAGTTTAGAGATAAGACTTCAATTTATTCTGAGTGACTTTGATGTACAACAATAGCAATGAATATCAAATTTTATACGTCTTTGAGTGTAACAAAATAAACTTAATAAGTGAGGTATTGTATTTCTATAAAATGATTGTTTTGTTTGCATCCTTACTTCATGTACAATTTAATCCTTTGTCTCTTTATTAATTGCTAAACTATTCCTTTATGTAACATTGTATCATTGACTAAGTGTTATTTATACAGGTAAAATCCATGAAAATTACTCATGAAAGTAATTTCTCTGAAAAGGTATTTAAAATTCTTTCAATCAATGTCTCTATGATACGCCCATGATATTTAAACTATTCTCTTTTGTTGTTTTCTAAAGTTTATAGTTCATTATTTGTAGCATTAAGTGATTATTTCTTCCTGGTTTTATCCTACTAACAAACAGAATTTTTATCATGATTTGTATTGATTCAACTTGTTCACTAACTGGTCAATTTTCTAGTACTTTGCCCCCTAACTAATCTACGACAGATAAGAGGACCAATATTCTTGTTTCATCATAAATTTACAGAAAAACATATGAAGATTAATTGTGTATTCAATTAGCACTCTCAGTTGCTTACAACCACTTCTTCAACCCAACTTAAGACTCAAAACAAAGACTTGATGCACAAATGAATATGAATAGGCTTATATCAGTGCAAACTTGATAATCAAAAATTATCCCAGAAATGTGTCTGCGTAGAATTCGATGAATTACTACAACTGATTCAGGTTGCGAAACAACCAATTAAAACAGAACGGATGTAAAGTCAAGGGATCCAGAATATAAGAAATGTAAGCAGGTTTAAAGTAAAAGTTTAATTCAGTGATATATATCAGTGAAATATTCATTAACAGTACTACTTTAATAAGGTACAAATTAGTAGTCCACTATCTCTAACTATAGAATTGCGAAAAGACCGGGAAATGAGGCTACAATTATTCGATTATCACTATATTACCACAAAGTAAGCTAAACTTGATGTAGGACTTTTGGTTTCCATGTGATAAAAATTGGCTAAAATTTCCCTTAATGTTAATTAAAAAATATCAAGAGTTGGTTGGACGATATCATTGACAGAAAATGCTTAGAATAGATATCATTGAATTAAACTTCTATATTATATATATATATATATATATATATATATATATATATATATATTTCTATTCTGGATCCTTTTACTGAACATCCATTTCATCCGTTGTTTTAACTGGTTGCTTTGCAACTTGAATCAATCATAGTAATTCATCAGGTTAATAGTTAGCACACACTGAACAGTCGTAAAGAAGTTCTATTAAATCCTTAGAAAACTATAAAATAACACTTCTAAAAACTTTAATATGTACAGAAAACACTATTTTAATTTTTATATGAGTTATGCACCGGAAATAACGATAAGTGAATCAAGAGATTAGAGGCTAGATACAGATGAAAACGGAAGTTATAGTAATACATACGCTGTTCATTTACACCTACCTTCATCTACATTCAAATCGAAAGATTTGTCGTTGTAAAACAAAATGGTTTTCTTATCGTGTGGTGTGACAATGCGAATCACATGGTCACCAAAACTCTGATCAAGTAAAAAAAGCAAAGAAATATATGCCCAAAATACAAAAACTATTGAAAACGAAATCATAAGATACAGAAGTTAGATGAAGAAATATTTAACTATGGATTGATTGAAAAATGAATGTGTTAACTATATCTGGAATTGTATGGAATAATTCAGAATAGAGAATAGAAATAGAATAATTTAATCCCATATCCGTTATATTAGGTCGAACGGTTGGACTGACAAAGTATAATCGCTTATTATATGACATAACACTATATTACTAACACATTTTCAACACTAATCTATTGAGGATTCTAAGTACACCAAAAAATCTCAATGTGAGTATAGTCTTTTTTGATGGAGATGAACATTAGAAATACTGAAAGAGTAAACATGAATTTACTAAATACTAAAGCTTAATGGATTATCTAATAGTCCATCTCGTCAGTTTTCTTTAATTTCATCAAACGTTACCATCACCTTTTAATGGATCTTATGGTGAAACAGCACTTTAGTCGCTTAGTTTTCAAGACTGAGGTTAGAGTTTCTCGTTCCAATCCAATTACCTAAGTTTAATTAACAAGATACTATTATTAGCCCTCAGGTACTAGATAGAGGTCAGTTCATTACTAACTCCAGATATAATTAGACTAAATTTGACAACCTTATATTAATATACCCAGTTGAAGGTGGCAGTGTTGTGACAATGGTTTTTAACAGTGAGCTAAATAGACTTGAGACATTCAGCATTATGAAATTTATGAGATGAAAGAACTATCTTAGACGTACAAAATAATTTATAACAATAAACGAGAACTTTAACATTAAGAGGAAGCAAGCTTTAAGATAGTCTTCTAAATTTACTTATTAACGGGTAACTTTTGTTTACTAACACTCAACAAATTATTACTGACATCACCTAACTATAAATCAGTGACCACATTCACAATGATCTTACAGGTAAAACTCTTGAAGAGCTCAATGAAAAAGGAATTTTCATGAGTGAGATGGAAATGTAGATGTGCAGACTGGGAACACAAAGTGATCAGATTAAGTTCATTATTAAATCACGCTACCAGTAACGAAGCAGCGAAATTCGAGCTTTAACGGTGCTAATATTCTAATCTGCGATTATGTATTTGTGAATTAAAATGGACGTATCTACTCAGTTGTCTTTAGAATTCTAAATTTCCTGTCCATATACGTGTCTGACGATCTACAGATAGTGAGTGTGAAAATAAACTCATCTGCAAAATCAATTTACACAAATTGAAAAGCAAATCCAAACTATCATATATAGTAAAACAGATTCAATTAATTTCACTTAAATTTCCGTTCTCTACCTGAGGTTTTTATTGGGGACAAATAGTTACCTGAAGGTAGGTAGAACAATAACCTAATAACTGCATGCCTTCAATTACGAACAAATGTTACAACCACAGAACATAAGGGAATACACAGGTGTGCTGAGCATCGGGAATACTGAATAAGTAGGTTAACTTTTTGTCAGCGCAACAGGTGGGATAGATTAAAAAATAAAAACCAAATTTTATGTATAGGGCTGAGAGTTGACTTGGATCTTACCAACTTGTGTTTATACAAATACGGAAATAGATAGAACAGATACGAAATTTTCAGAAAGTATACAACAGAGTATGCAACGACAACGACATAATTCAGATGCATAGTATCTACTGAAATACATTTTGGATCAAAGGTGATTTGCTTACATTGAGAATTTTTTCAACATCAGGAACAGATTCAGTCAAATCATCTAGATAAATTCCCCCCAAACCCTTCAACTCCTGACGACGGAGAAGTTGGTAAAGATCCTTACGGGTACGAATATCATATCTCGGTTTAAATACGAACTTTGCATCCGTAGTAACACGAATTTTGGGATTATTCGGTAGAGCCTAATATAAAAATATTGCAATTAAAGTTAAATTACTTCTTCCTCCAGCCATTTTACGGTAGCAGGTGGTGTGTCATGAAGTACAGCTTCTTCCAAAATTTCTTCTACAGATAATGGATGAGTATCGCCTTCTAAATGGCGTTGCTATGAGAAATTATAGCATACGGTACGTGGCAAACCTTCATGTACTTTACTATTCGAGATAAAACAGCAAACTTCCCTTGCAATTGAGGTTTTAATTCGAGAGATCGCAATTCCGAAACAGTAGAAACTGAAGGAGGTCCACGGCGGTGTACAGAAGTCATAGCACCTTTTTCCTCTGAAGTACCAGAAAAATTAGACTTTGGTTTCTCAACAACAGGAATTGTCATGGCTCTCTTCAAAAACGCTTCCCTCTCTTTTATAAGGCTTGGATTCATCTTCAGAGCTAAAACGAAAAAGGAACATCTTCTATAAGATTAATTTCATATCATAAAACACTAATGACAACTGCATTTAAACTCGTTAATTTGTCTTTTTACCGCCTCATAATTTGGCATCAGATCCTGAATAGAATGTAGGACAACACTAAGATCCAAATAATAAACAAGATTTAATTAATAGTGCATGCTTTGGTGTATTATGCATCGGAGTGCTATGGTGGCAATAGTTTTTATTTCTTTATTTAATACACACACATTGTGGTACAACTGGGGACCAAAGTGTGTGCCGAAATAATATTGAGAAAAAATAGGAGGAAGAGTACAACCAAGAAATAATGATGTGGTTAGTAGTAGTAGTATATATTAGGAGATACGATCCAGTTAAAAATACAAACAATAAGCGCTTTTTTCGGTAATTAGAGCCCCTCTCGCTTTTATGATGAATCAAAAAGAAAACTAAAGTAGGATTGCTACTGGCTTTTACCATGTCGTGTCTGGTAACATCGTAAATTAACGAGTTACACGACTTCTCAGACCCCGACCGAAGCCGTATTGGATTGCCAGATCAGTCATATACAACTTTCTCATTTCACATTATTATCTTATAGACTAATCCCATCTCCAATTTTTCACTGTCCCGGTGTCAGAAAAGAATGCGTATATGAACGACGCTGGAATGAAATTCGTAAAGCACGTCCAAGCCACCGAAGCCAGTGTTTTTGAATTGTGACACTAATTAAGTTAACATAACCCGAACACAAATTCTCGAACCTCGGAACTGTCGAAATTGTTTTGTTTTTGTCGGTAATCCTGTGGATGACCATAAAAAAAAAGAGTTGCTGAACATTGGTTCGGACACCAAATTTCAAAAAACCATTGTATAGGATCGCTCCCACTGACGCTGCACAAGCCCGACCCTTTAAAGCCAAGTTAAAATCACGAAGGCAACACAGGTGGTCCATATTGAGATATACCGTTCCGGCCTTTCTTAAATGTAAAGTTATTTTATCTATTAAATTAAATTAATTCGTCTGCCAAGCACTTGAATGTGAGCCGCACTCTCATTGTGAGGGAGTAATGATACTATCAGATTTCCCAAACTGAAATAGGTGGCGGTCCAAACCGGGGACATCCCCACTACTACCACTAACATAACTAACGAAATACACGAACATCACGACTATTTCCGACGGCTTATTACAAAGAGTGTGCGCAAGTATAAGTTTCTGCTGATCTTAGGAAAGTGCTTTGAACTTAAGTGATAAATATATGCTGCAATTGGAGATACTAATTAAGCCCGATTAAGATAGGTTATGTATCATCGCAAAATAAGACAATGAACTCAAGATCAGAAAAATTTTTCCAGATAGCAGATCTATATCAAGTAATTCCGTTAGAGGTTTCCAGAATATCATCGAAGGCAAAGGTGAAGAAAGGTGTTTATATTGAGCAACCTTCCCTAAACACACTCCTAGACTAAAATAATGTACATTACAGGTATACATATAGCATATCTGAGAGTATATTCTAATGGTATGAAGAAATTTGTATAGGAAAATTGGTCAGTTTATATCAAGAATTATTGGGATAAGATAAATATGAGTTTGACTAGCATATTTACGCACATTACTACACCCCCGCTAGAGTCTTAATGATGATGGGACCCAGTGACTTGCAGCATGATTATGACACATACCAATAAAGAACCACTGAGTAAATCACCCAGTGAAGATTGGGAAACAAACTATTTACAACTAAATATATAAAGCTACTGCAATTTAGTGTCTTGCAGCTCATCGAAGCCCGTCGGTCTACTCCGGGTGACCGTGAGTTTGACCACAAACGAAGGATGTTACGTAATGAAATTGGGCAAAGCTTGCGTAAGGACTGAGAAGCCTGGTGGTCGGAGCGTGCTAATGACCTGGAAGCGACAGCTGCATCTGGTAACTACCGGAAGCCCTTCCAACTCAACCGAGTCGCTGGAAGCAAGAGGTGTGGTGTGAGCGAAACAAACTGTGAGGATGACGGGATGCCAATCACTAACATCCATTAACGTCTTAGACGATGGGCAGAGTCCTTCGAAAGGCAGTTCAACTGGCCTGCTGCTCCGGCAACATCGATCAGACTATCCTGCCCTCCATGGTCGGTGACGACTGATCCACCAAATGAGGGGGAAGTCCGCGAGACACTCCAAGTATTGAAGCGCTACAAATCACCCCACCCAGATGACTTACCTTCAAACCATTGGCTTCTGTCATACTTCGTAGGTTGTTGAAAAATCGAGAAAGATTGACTCGCGAGGAGGAGGCTGTTTTCCGTTCTGGTCCAGGGTTGCTCAATCTCACCATTCCTTTTCAACTTTGCCATCCATGACACTCTGGAAACAGCTCTGATGGATGTAAGTAATAGCGATGTGGATCTGTTGCCTGGAGAAAGACTTCGACCTTGAGTATACGGATGATATTGTCTTACTGTGTGATGATGCCCAAACCATGCAATCCGCACTTAATTGGTTGGCAATCAGTGTCCGTAGGTACGGTATGTGATTTTCACCTTCTAGACTTGCACGACCCAGACCCTGTACTCACCCTGGATGGTGAGCAGATAGAAGTAGTCGAAAAGTTCGTGTATCTAGGTAGCTGCATAAGTGCTGGTGGTGGCGTGAGTAATGAGATCAATGCAAGTATAGTGAAAGCCAGAGCGACTTATGCCAATCTGGGCCATCTTTGGCACCTTCGTGATGTTAGTCTGGCTGTAAAAGGTCGGATCTACAACGCGTCGGTGAGAGCAGTTCTGTTCTATGCTTGTGAAACCTGGCCTCTCCGAGTTGAGGATGTTAGACGACTCCGTGTTTGGTCTTCGTTGTCTCCGAAGGGATGCTGACATCCAGTGGCAACAACATGTTAGTAATGCAGAGTTTCGGCATCGTGTATTCAGATGGAGAGACGATAATCAAATTGGTGTCACCATCTTGAAACATCGACTTCGGTGGCTTGGACATGTTCTACGAATGTCGTCCCGGAGAATTCCACGTCGTGCATTATTTGCTGACGCTGGGACTGGTTGGAAAAAGCGGAGAGGTGGTCAGTGGATGACATGGTGTCGTGGTACGAAAGAAAGCTGCAAAGAGATGACTCCTGTTGGTGTTTCACGACTCCCTGGCTGGGGTCTGAGAGATGGTGCGACACAGTGGCTAGAGACGTTATCAGATATGGCTCACAATAGAAGTCAGTGGCTATCCTGCTGTGACCTTCTTTTACTTTCTTCATAAAAAGGTTGGTTGTATCTTAACCTTAACTAAAAGAATTCTTCTGGTTGTACCTTTCCGTTCCCCTATTATTACGACTATTATTATTACACTACATTACACCAATCTCTTCCTTATTGTTCGTTTTTTACCTTCCTTACCTTTTTTCTTTTTACTTCTCTTTAAATTCTCATTGTTTTGTGTGGCGCATATATATTTGGCGCACTCTTGTACCAATATGTATGTGTTCAAATAAATAAAAAATAAACGATAAAACATGATAAATGTAAGAGAGCAGACAGAGTACATAGTAGAAGTATGTATATAAATATGCCAATTAAAACGAAAATAAGCGTGTTAGAGTATCGTTGGATGAGCTAAAGTTGTATTAGAGGTATGCTGGTAGTCTTCCCTTCTCGTCTGTCTACATTACGAAATATTTTTTGAGAAACCTGAAAAGGAAACTGGTTCAATAGTGGTTTTGACTAATTGGAAGTGTGAATGGAAATCCGAAGAGACACCTGATTAACCCTAACCACACAGGATTTTTGTGAGCAACTGTCTATGCACTCGCTCAGTACTTTTTCTGGGCCTTACTGCCCAAACTAAACATCCATGGGGCAAGGTGAGTTGTGGTATTTTTAGGGTCAGATTTCCTTCGTTTTGGGAAGGCAGCATCATCGGATCTGTTAGTTATCCGTGTGAATCGCCTGACTGTCATTACAAGTCAGTAAAACTTTTCGCGCAGACTTAAGATTTGCTACTTTTGTTTTTACCACTATCTAACCAATCTGCCTGTACGGTAGAACCCAAAAGAATAAGTGTTTCAACCAATGTAACTTGATTAGGCTGTCAATCTAGACAGTCCTGAATATCAAGGCAGCAACTAAAGTAGAGAGTCAATGAATAATGTCGTAAAAACTAACAGCTTTTTGACACACTGAATTACTTCAACAATCCTTTCTTAACTTTTTTATAACTATTGTATTTAACCTAAGTTGTCCCGTTGATTAATAAAGCTTTAATGTAAGATACAACACTCGACATCTACAACAAAATAGCAACACATTAGAAGCTATGACAGGTAAGAAATGTCTATCACTGTTCATGACAAAAATTCTCCATAAAATTAACATTATTGTACAAGCAGTACTTCAATATAGTACCTCAACTCGAATTTTCTTAATCTTTGTTTTACCGTGACTTACTAAGTTTTCTCAAACTACTATACTTCACTGCAAAGCCTTTCAGTAAGTTAGTTACAACTTAGGACCAGACACATGTATGCAGTGGTCCAAGTTGACACACATCATTAGCACAACAAAATTGGCACCGAATTCATAGAAGTAGTTTTTTCAATGGTAGCAATATATAAAATAAATATTGCATATAATGATATAATACAGGAAGAATTAGTTCGTAGAAAGAAAGATATGAAATAATTTTAATCTGATAGTTTAAGGGAAGATAGAAAGAGTACACACCGACGCCATTGTGATCGATTCGGAGCCGTGTCAACAAGAGTCTCCAACCATTGGTTACGACAGTCACAATCCTGAAGGGAGTGCCTAATGTCAGTTTTAGGGCTAAATGTAAATGACCTTCCTAGTCTCTTGCCATCATCGGTCCTGTTACACATTGATGAAATCAAGATAAGGAGATAAATGAATAAGATAGTTCAGAGATTTGGAAAGACCCACATAAATTATCTGGATGGTCTAGAACTTGTTCACTGTTAAATAAGTCCATCACGATTCAAGTTGGTCACTTAGGTGTAGATACATACACAGTGAAGTGTTGAACTACAATTAGTTCTCACAGTGATCAGGGAGTCATTGTTAAACAAGACTTGAAAACTAATAGACATCTCTGTGGAATAGCTGCTAATAGTACTAGAACCTTTTGACTAATGCGTACAATTTTTAGCCATGGAGATATTAAGACGACTTGGTGGTGTTCGTTTGACCTGAACTAAAATACTTCCTACAACCGATCAGCACCTGGACAAAAAAAGAATGGGGAACTGTCGGGAAATGTTCAAAACATCGCAACTAAGTTTAGGTTTGAAAGCCCAAAGTCGACGTAAGACGAGTGACTAGATAAACAGAAACTATTACCTATGTTATACAAAAGGACTAGAGGTGACATAAATACTTTGGGAACTACATAATAATATCAGTATGCACTTGAAACAAACGCATCATTTTTATCCTCCAGAAATGGAGATTTGTGAGGACACCCCAAAAAAGTTCACAAGCTCAGGAACAATTACTTATCAGTTGAATATCGGATCTCTTGCTAAATTACCAACCAGTGGAACTGACTGACTGAAAATAAGGTAAAGGCTTCACATATAGATGCAATTAAGAGCTTGGCCACTTGAGAGACCACTTTTGCTAGGAATAACACAAGCCATTTAGCCTACTATCTTTCCTATACTGGAAATGTCAAGTTTTGCATACAGCCAACAATATCTTGAGGGTGTGGTTTAAGAGAGTATTCTCAGATTGGTTGATCTATAAGATGAGCGGACAATAGCCCATAAAAATCCAACACAAGCTTTATTTTTATTCACAACTTGAGATTTCGTCACAATCCGTCTCCAGCTTCGGTATGATGAGACTCATCTCGGATAACTCAATTAAAGTTTGAGAACCCTTCATTGCTAGAAAGAATAGATTAAAATTAATCAGATGCTTTACATCAACTTAACGAAAGATAATGAACGTGAAAAGTATAGGTCGTAGACCTCTTATCCTTATTACTGAGGACTGCTTACAACTACAAGGTAATGTAGCGTATTATTTGGATGGACTTCAAACTTCACAAGGCTAAATTACCATACTGTTCGTTCCCTGATATATGTGTTTAGGCAGTAAAAACAACACTCTTGATTATAGAAAGGTATAATCCTTGGTATTTTTCTTCTGGAAACTAATGGGCGAGGACAATTTTGTTAATGAAGGCAAGGTAAGACAATGAGTAATACCCTCCAATGCCTACTGAATTAAAGTAATCGTCAATTCTTGTTTCAAGACGTTGTAGCGGTAAATAAATCCCCAAAATAAATAGCACTAGGTTTTCGACATTGGATGCTGACCATATGTTTTAGTGGACTCATTTAGCTGAAGGCGCTCGGTCAGGCATCCGCACCAGATCACGTGTGGTAACGCCGTGCTCAACATCAACCGCAATCGCTAGCCAGATTAGATCAGAGAATTCCGATATATTGGTCATCGCCAAATATACTCTTCCGATCTCCTCGACTCTGTCTTTTGATTTCTCTGGGCGGGAACGAAATATATTAGAAGGTGTTACTGGTAGAAGCGTTGTCAAACACTGAATACCTGTGACATCATCATTGGTGAAACCGACGTGATCTGGTACACCTAATTGCAATTGTGAGTCTGTTCCTTTTTGGGATTTTTATATATCATTGCCTTATTTTTTATTTTTTTAAACATTGTGAATTTTTTTTCGTGTTTTTTCCTGGATATATATATTTTTTCCCCTCGTTCATTATCGTACTTCATACTTCGTCATGACTGAACAGACACCTAAAGTACTCAAGCTTAAGACTTTGTCTCCGCCTTCGTTTCAACTGATGCCTTTCTGGCCCGACAACATCGAAGCCTGGTTTCGCTACGCAGAAGCCGACTTCTCCGAGCACGGCGTGATCGACACACGTGCACAATTCCTCGCAGTAGTCAAGGCACTACCGCGCGAATTCAACAGGTACGTAACACCTTGTATGTTTACTAGTGATGTTTCCGATCCTTACGAAATCTTAAAACGCTCGATTCTTAAACGAGGAGACCTAACCGATCGACAAAGGTTAGATCAACTCTTCAACAATATCGACCTGCAACACGGTTCTGCGACGGACATGTTGCAACGGATGAGAGAGGTAATAGGCCCAAGAACTTTCGACGAAGGTCTATTCAAACAACTCTTCTTGTCAAAACTTCCCCAACAGGTGCAAGCAGTTCTGGTCTCGTTCCAGAACAACGCCTTAGACGAGCTAGCTGCATCTGCCGACCGCATTTTAGAAATTACGAAATCTACTACCGAGGTATTTTCAGTCAAAGAAAAACCTCAAACGACTCAGAATGATATAAACGACTTATGTCACACACTCACGCGTTATCTTAGTCTTCGTACCGACCGTAAGAGATCGCGCACACCATGTAGAAGCATTTCTCGTAAGCGATCTGTCTCTAGACCACGAGAGACAGATAACCCCGACTGGTGCTGGTATCATAACCAGTATGGAAAGCTTTCCAGAAATTGCAGAAAACCCTGCAATTTTCCCAACACGAAACCGACTGATTCGAAAAGCAATTCGGGAAACTTCTAAGCCGGCACGCGTTAACGGCAACCGTAGCCGGCGAACAAAGCCGTCTGTTATTCGTCACAGATGTGACAACGAGAGTTCGCTACCTCGTCGACACTGGCGCAGAAGTTAGCGTTCTCCCAGCAAATCCTAACGACCGACTACACGAATCGACCCTAAACTTACAGGCGGCAAACGGAAAACCGATCGCTACGTATGGCAAAAGGTACGTTTACCTTAACGTGGGTTTACGCAAACCCATTCACTGGATTTTCGTTGTTGCAGATGTTTCTATGCCAATCATTGGTATGGATCTTCTACAACACCATAATCTGATCATCGACACGCGCAAACGGAGGCTAGTAGACGGGAACACTAATTTGTCCGTTTGCGTAACTTCTTTTACTGGTTGTAGAGTAGCCCCAGTCACAGTTAAACATATGATAGACCCACTCTATCAACCACTACTCGATAAGTACCCTGAGATACAACAAACTCAAACGAAACTACCGTGTGTAACCAGCAATGTTACACATCACATCACGACTACAGGACCACCTGTATTCTCTAAAGCACGACGACTAGCTCCCGAAAAGCTAAGGTTAGCGAAAACCGAATTCGATCACATGATGGACTTAGGAATCATACGACCGTCAAGTAGCCCATATGCATCTCCGTTGCACATGGTCCCTAAAAAGGACAGCAACGATTGGCGTCTAACTGGTGACTATCGGCGATTGAACGCGAAAACCATTCCCGATCGTTACCCGTTGCCTCACATTCACGATTTGACAGCTACCTTGAAAGGTACAACTGTCTTTTCGAAAATCGACTTGGTTAAAGCATATAACCAAATCCCTATGGCTACTGACGACATACCGAAAACGGCTATCATAACTCCCTTCGGACTCTATGAATTTTTGCGAATGCCTTTCGGTCTAAGGAATGCTGCTCAAACATTCCAAAGATTCATAGACGACGTTTTTCGAGGTCTCAACTTCGTACAGGCGTATGTTGACGACTGTCTAATCGCAAGTCCGGACAGTAGACGCATCCGACTCAGCAATCGGAGGAGTCTTACAACAATGGGTTAACAACTCCTGGCAACCCTTGGCCTCTTTCTCTAGAAGGTTGCTAGACACCGAATCGAGGTACAGCACATTCGGTAGGGAACTCCTAGCTATGTATTGTGCTGTACGGCATTTCCAACACTACATCGAAGGTCGTGAATTCACTCTTTTCACGGATCATAAATCGCTCACTTTCTCGTTAAGCTCTCCTTCTGATAATTACTCTCCCCGTGAGTCTCGACAACTGGACTACATTTCGCAGTTTACTTCAGACATTCAACACATCTCTGGAGCAAACGATGTAGTTGCAGACGCCTTATCTCGCATAACTTCCTTGAACAGTTTCCAAGGAATCGACCTTCTTAAACTCGCCGAGCTTCAAAAAGAAGACAGTGATCTTCAGCACGAGTTATCGTCTACAACCCTTAAACTATGCATCAAACAGATGGGAACAGGTAAGGAAACCTTACTTTGTGACATATCTACAGGTAGGGATCGCCCAATCGTGCCGAAACATTATCGACGTAATGTCTTCAACACATTGCACAAACTTTCGCATCCAGGTGTTCGTGCAACCATCAAGCTTATAGCAGAAAGGTTTTGCTGGCCTGGAATGAATAAAGACGTGAGGGAGTGGGCACGCTCCTGTGTAAGCTGCCAAAAATCTAAGGTTATCAGACACAATAAATGTCCCTTAGGCTCGTTTAAAACTCCCGATGCTCGTTTCGACCATGTTCATCTGGATTTGGTAGGACCTTTACCAGATTCAAATGGATACTCTTATCTCTTAACCTGCGTTGACCGTTTCACTCGATGGCCAGAAGCAGTACCTATCAAGGACATCACTGCTGAAACAGTGGCTCGCACCTTCGTCGAACGATGGGTAGCAAACTTTGGCTGCCCTTCAACCATCACTACAGACCGCGGACGTCAGTTTGAATCCGATCTTTTACGTCATCTGACCACACTTTTAGGAATCACTCGCTTCCGAACGACCGCCTACCATCCACAAGCAAACGGGTTGGTAGAACGTTTTCACCGACAACTGAAAGCTTCGCTATCAGCTGCAAACGTTTCACAGTGAACCGACGCTCTTCCACTCGTCTTACTAGGTATCCGCAATGCAGTGAAAGCTGACATTGGATACACTGCGTCTCAACTCGTTTATGGTACGACGCTTCGACTTGCAGGAGAATTCGTGGATCCTTCATCCTCTTCAATGAACATGGATCTAACCTCCTACACGAACAGGCTTACAAACGCAATGCGTTCAGTTAAACCTGCTTCCACTCGACCACAATCAACTGATGTTTTCGTTCAACCTGACTTACGATATAGTACACACGTTTTCATTCGTCGAGACTCGCATCGACGACCATTCGGATCAGCATACGAAGGACCCTTCAAAGTTCTTCAACGTGAATCTAAGTACTATATAGTCGATAAGAACGGAACCAACGATAGCATCAGCATCGATCGCTTAAAAGCAGTGTATTTAGAAGGAAATCCTATCTACGTGGATTTTCCTTCGGTACAATCGAACGACACGACTCCGACACTTATAATACCTCATCCGACAACCAACACACACGATGATACTTCGACAGTATCCGAAAATAAACTTAAAACGAGGCGTTCTGGAAGAAGGGTGAGATTTCCAGAACATTTAAGCGACTATTGCACGTAAGGCACTTCTCGACATTTTATATTATTTTTTTTAAAAAAAAACAATTTTAATATGCTTATATATTTTTATTTCTATTTAAAAAAAAACAAAACAAAAAACCAATTTTTTTAATGCTATTACGTGTTCATGAGTTTATTTTCCACTTTTTTCCGCCGATATTGTGTTTTTACGCACATACGAGTGTATTTCGACATGCACTTACATTTTCTTTTTTCTTTTCCAGGACGGCTGGAAAAGAACGATGACGTTTATGAGGATCCGAAATTTTCATTGTACATTTTCTTTTTTTAATATGTTGTACCTCCGTCCCATATAGTAAGGAAAGACGACCAGACGCTGCTAAATTTAGTAAGCTATCAGAAGAGTGTTTACCAACGACAAACTCGTTGGGTTTAAACTTCTGGCTGGCCACGTCTTAGGGTCGTCACTGCCCCACTAGTGGGGGAGTGATCTGTGGCGGTAAATAAATCCCCAAAATAAATAGCACTAGGTTTTCGACATTGGATGCTGACCATATGTTTTAGTGGACTCATTTAGCTGAAGGCGCTCGGTCAGGCATCCGCACCAGATCACGTGTGGTAACGCCGTGCTCAACATCAACCGCAATCGCTAGCCAGATTAGATCAGAGAATTCCGATATATTGGTCATCGCCAAATATACTCTTCCGATCTCCTCGACTCTGTCTTTTGATTTCTCTGGGCGGGAACGAAATATATTAGAAGGTGTTACTGGTAGA